GAGCAAGACTCCGTCTCAAAAAAAAAAAAAAAAAAAAAATACAAGCAAAACTCCCTGTGCTTTCAGTGAGAGATGTAATTGGCTAGGATAAAGGCTAAGCTGCTGTAACAGAGAGACCCAGAAATATCGTGACCTCTTAAGATAGAAGTTTCTCTCTTATTTAGCATTTCAGCCTGGGAAAGCAGCTCTGCAACAGGATGTCTCAGAGCCCAGCTTCCTGCCCCTTGTGCTAAGCCAGCCTTAGACATCTGCTTCCCACAGAGAATCAGGCTTGGCTGCTGCATTCACCTCCCTGCTCACAGTGAGGGGCACGTCTAGGTCAAGCAATGGCTCCCTGCGTGGAGGTGAGCCACACATAATGCACACCCCGTCGGCCCACTTTCCTCCCCACTGACGCAAACCTGGACATGGTCAGGCGCAGCTGCAGTGCGGCTTCTTGCTGGACCTAGCTTCACCACAAGCCTAGTGTGTGTGTTTGAGAAGCAGGATGGGATCTCCAGCTCCTACCTTGGGAGAGAATGACAGTGAACGAAACAAGTATACAAAATGTCAGATGATCCTCAGTGCTGTGAAGGAAGAGAAAGCAGGGCAGTGGGTAGGAAGTGCTCGGGAGAAACTGCAATTTTAAATCGATTGGTGGGAAGCCTCACTGAGGTGGTGACATTTGCGGAAGGACTCCGGCAGCTGAGGTGCAGTTCTTGTGGCAGGTTAGGGGAGCACTGCGGACAGAGGCACTGACAGGTGAGGAAGATCTGTGGGGGGGCAGGGAGCGCGTTGTGGGATTTGCTTGTAGTCGCGGGCACATGCTTTGGACATGGTGAGTTGAAATGCGTCTTTATCCACGTGGAGGTGCCAAGCAGACTGTGGGTTGTATGGCTCTGGAGTTCGGGAGAGCAGATCCGACCGGAAAGAAAATTTCCGAGTACTGAAATCCAGTATCTGACTTCATCGTTCATGTAAATGCCATGCTCATTTCTGCAGGGAGAGCACAGCCAGGCTACAGTGGCCACGCTGTGTCCCCCCACAGGGGACTTTCTGGGCAGCAGATCTGTTGGAGTGTGCCTGGCAGCTGGTTCCGCAGAGGTTCACCTGCCTCAGTAGAATATTCAGGCCCTTCTGCCTCAGTGGGTCTTGGTGGCTGCACGACGAGCCTGCCCAGGGAGGAAACTGAGATTAAGAGCTGTGAAAAAAAAGTCTTGTTTGTGACCAGGGTGGAAAGTGGCAAGAGCCAGGTTTTGGACACCAGTTCCCTTCCTCCCAAGCAGCCCCGCCTGAATGGGGCCCTTTGTTAGGAAAATTCTCCAGGAAGAAGGATGTTTTGTTGAGCAGGTTTTTAAACATTGCGTAGTAGGAAGTTGGAGAGCTTAAGCAAGTAGGGAGTAGCAGCAGAAGGCAGAGGAGGGAGCCTGACAAGCCCAGGCGGAGTCCAGCTGTGACTGCCTGTGCGCATCCTTTCCCATTTCCCTCCCTACTCGGGCCCTTTCCAGATGCATCACCTCCACAGAATGCCCCCGTCCCTGCCCCAGGACACCCAGTCATTGCTCAGCATGCTCACTGCCCCCACGTCTGATCACAGTGGCCCTTCATGCAGACACCGAGACCCACGGTAAGGCGGAGGACCCCGAACATTTCTATGGGCAGGTGACCTGCTGCGGAACCAGCTGCCATGCGCACTCCGGCAGCTCTGCTGTCTGGAAAGCCCTGTGACTGCTCTGTGGCCTTGCCGAGTTCTCCCCACAGAAATGAGCAGGGCCCTTACGTAAACAAACAGGAGCTGTACTTTGGTTATCACTACCCGACAGAATGTTTTGATCTCAGAAGCTACCTGCATCTGTGGAGCAGTGCGGTCTACTGGAGGGGCTCAGAAGGCCTGGATCCAGTTTTCAAGCTGCCTCTGCTTTGCTGTGTAACCTTGAGCACAGGACTCAAGGTCGTGATTTTCTTGCGTATCAAATGAAGCTCATCAATGAACGCTCACCACTTTACCTAGTGAGGAGGGTGAGGCACTGATGATGTGTTGGAAGCCGTCTCTGCAGAAGCTAGTGGGCACCGTTTCGCCACCTCTGTGGCTTGCAAATAGGTTCCTCATTTGCAGCATCTGAGAAGTTGCTCTTGCCTTTGTCCAGTGTGACAAGTGTCTCCAATATGTGTATTTCAAGGCTTTCCAGCTATGCTTGAAGCTCTTTAGGGGATGGAATGTGGGGAGAGGATGTGGATTTCTGCACCTCGGTCTACTCCAAAGCAGCTCAGTTGGGACTTTATAAACACACTTGCCAGACTTTGCTGGAGACCTCCATTTCCTTTTCTTCTACTCAGATTTGCTCCAACTTTTTTAATGCCTTGTAGGATGTCATACTCGGACACCCAGGACATAATTGTTCAGTTGAGTTGAACTCCTAAGGAGATGCATAATATAAAACTGAACCCATGTAATGTAGGTAAAATGTAAGCTGAAAGAAAACAGTCCTTGCTCTGAAGTACATTGCTAAAGGGTAGTGCTAAGATTATGGCGGAATTTAATAACTTAATTGGTTAGAGTAAGAAATATTTTGTATTCCGGAAAAGTTAGAAACTTTCCAAGGCATGTGGACATTCCTATTTCCACTTCTTCAGAAGTGCTGTCGGAATCCTAATAAGATACGGGCAGAATTCCTGGCTGGCAGTCAGTCTGCCTAGTGAACTAGAACGGGGCATTTAATCAAGGCATGTGAGTGGAAAGAATCTTTCATCTCAGTATCATTGCCACAGGTTAGCAAAACAATACCTTTTCCTTTAGAGCAGATAACTTCTTTTCTTAGGAATTATCAGCAATATCTCAATTAAGAAAAACTTTGTAGAGTGGAAGCCACTTTATATAGCTAGTATAAATCTGCCCCCCCAACCAGTGCCTTATTTTTGGTTTTGTTTTGTTTTTTGCTGCTCAAGTCAAAAAGAATGACAAGAAAATAGTTTGTTTGTTTTTTTTTTTTACTAGAAACTAAAAAGAATTCGTTTCTAGTGCTATTCTAAAATCAAATGATATTCAGTCCAATCTCCTATTTATGTCTGCATTGCTATACGTGACAAAGCTAAAAATGATGAACCAAAAATGACGAACCCATTTCCTAGAAAAAAAGAATGTTTGCTCTAAGTGTTATCATAAACTTGTACATATAAGCAAGAATCAAGAAGGCAGTTTCCAGAGCCCTATTCCCATGAGGACTCTCTGAGGGTGTTTGAATCAGTAAGATGCCTGTTGTTATCTACGTGTCAAAAATCAAGAAGTAAAACTTGTATATTTTTCTTGTTCGTCTTTAGATGCCACTGCCTGGGGAAATGTGTGGAGAAGGGGCATATTGGATGCACTGTTCCTTTAAAATTGATATTACTGTGGCAACTAGATATCATTGGCATTACACTATTGCGCCCTATAGTATATGTGTCAACAAGGCATGTTTAGAGAACATAAATCCTGAGTTACAAACTACCAAATTAAGAAGGAAATCTCCACTTTGGGGACATTTTAACCTATCTGTAAGTTAGAGACGGTTCTTTTTATATTAAGGAAAATAAGTTGACGAATGTATTTTAGAAGGATTTTAAACAGTAGGAATGTAAAGGACTCTAATTATGACACTACTTTAACCCCAAATCCCTATTCTCACCAGGATTTTTCTGAATATCCAGTTCTGTGTCAATCGATGAGCTTCATGGTTACAACAGTTGGGAACTTTGAAGTCCTCCACTCAAATCATGTATTAAGCTTCATTTTTTATGACAGCTCTTGTTAAAACCCCATATTGTGTAGGGCTGGGTTATTTGACCAAAAATTTAAGCTAAGGAGACTCTTCTCACTCTGAAGTGAACGCCTTCCTCACCAATGTAAATGACAGTTTCCCACAGCTTCACCATTTCATCCAGATAGATAATGTTTTCATTTCCAAGTCACTTCCCCTTCTCTGTGGCTGCTAGTTCAACTTGCGTGGGATGCAAGTTCCTCTCCAGTTATGCATTTTCAGTGTTTGCACAGCTGTGCTGACTCCGTCCACTGATAGAGGCTGTTTCAGATTAGATTTAATCTCTACCAGGTCAGGGGTGTGATTCTTTTTAACGTGCTGTATAATGAACATTTAGTGTGTGCCGTTTGCTTATTACAGTACTCTATAGAGTTAGAAGTGATGAAATATATTCTGTGAATATTAAACATGTTTGCAAATAAATGTCCTTTAAAATGTATGATTGGGGCCGGGCGCGGTGGCTCACGCCTGTAATCCCAGCACTTTGGGAGGCCAAGGCGGGCGGATCACGAGGTCAGGAGATCCCATCCCGGCTCACACAGTGAAACCCTGTCTCTACTAAAAAATACAAAAAACTAGCTGGGCGCCTGTAGTCCCAGCTACTCGGGAGGCCGAGGCAGGAGAATGGCGTGAACCCGGGAGGCGGAGCTTGCAGTGAGCTGAGATCCGGCCACTGCACTCCAGCCTGGGCAAGAGAGTGAGACTCTGCCTCAAAAATAAAAAAATAAAAAAATAAAAAAAATAAAATGTATGATTGGATTCTGAGCCTTATTCATCCAAGCCCAAAACATACGGTGTGTGTGCCTTCCCAGGTGGCAGTAAGAGACTTTCATACGTGTGGCCTGGAATCACTGAGACTGGAAATACCAAGACCCGTGCTCCAAGATGATAGTGCCTGCTCTCCTGCTTTTATGATTCAGTAATATTAACTCAAGTGTTTCTCTCTGGCTCTAGCCTCAAGTGTCATACAATCTTATTGGGAGTGAGGGGTGTGTAGCCAGGGAGGAGGAGAAAGGCACCAGCTGACAAATCGGCTTGTGTTTAGGTGCCAACTTGTACAAATACAGACACAGACCTTCAGTCTCTAGAGTTGCCGTGTCCATTATGATAGCCATTAGCCACATGTGGCTACTGAGCATCTGAAGTGTGGCTAGTCTGAATTGAGGTGAGCTGTGTCTTTAGAACAACACTGGATTTTGAAATTTTAATACAAAACAGAGAATGTAAAATGTCAATAATTTTTATATTGAATACATATTGAAATGCAATATTTAAGATACATTGGCTAAGTAAAATAGGCTACAGTTAATTTTACCTGTTTCTTCTTCTTTTTTTGTTTATTATTGAGACAGTCTCACTCTGTCATCCAGGCTGGTGCGCAGTGGTACAATCACAGCTCACTACAGCTTCATAGGCTCAAGAGATCCTCACAACTCAGCCTCCCAAAGTGCTGGGATTACAGGCATGAGCCAGCGCACCTGGCCTCCCTTTTACATTTTAAATTTGGTTTCTAGACAACCTGAAATGACGTGTGAAGCACACATTATACCTCTACCTGGAGTGATCCTCAGTTGAGGGGAGGCTCCCATGGTGAGCGGCACCTGCCGGGGAAGCAGAGTGAGGGCGCCTCAGCTCACTCAGGGCATCTGCTTGGGAAAGAGAAAATGTTAACGGCCCCTCTATGTAGATTTCATGCCCCTCTTAAATCCATTTCTCTCAGATTATTTTGGGGTTAGTTGAGTAGGATATGCTGTTTAACTGTACTGGATATAGATCTCTAATTTAAATGAGTTTGTTTATCCTGGTACCCTCAGGATAGTTTTAAAATGCTAATTATTATCATCATCATTACAGTGGCTAATGATTCTACAGCACAGCCAGTCCTACACACTTTATATAACGCCTGAGTCAGTCACTGTTATTACCTCCATTTGAACAGATGGCAATTGAGACTCGAGTCAGTGTCTCAAGGTCATACAGGTAGAGGTTGACCCAGGCCATGGGGTTCAGAATCTGCCCTGAACCACAAAGCAGTACCACCCTCTAAAGTAACATGTATTTCTCCACTTTCTTAGCACATGACGATGCCAGCCTTTCCATGGTGTAATAACAGTATAACTCTTTTCTCCAAAACTTCGATGTTTTCCAGCAGTTTAACAGCTAAGGCATTCAGAGATGTTTACTGTCTCAAAAACTGGGGTCTACTGTAAGGTTCTGGATGATCCAACTCCTTGTTTCCCCTAAAGTTGCCCCGAAAAGGATGCATGCATTCAGTCCGCTTAAAAATGTGGTGCAATTCCAATTCAATAAAAAACAGTAGTTCCCTGCCACATGCCGAGTACTGGGCAGCCAGAGATAAAGACGACAGACCCCCGCTCACAAAGAATTCTGCCCTGGTGGGGCTGAAGGCAGATTCTAGTAACGCGATGTGTCGAGGGCTGTGTGTCCGCAGTGCCGTGGGAACAGAGGAGAGGGACACCCAGCACATTGTGGGGTGCAGGTAAAGGTGTCCCATTAAAGACATCTTCTGGGTGGAGGGGTGCTTGAGCCATCTTCAAATATCTCATGCTGGTTTTCTCACAGCATGGGAAGGCCACTGGTAAGGGTGCCCGCCAGCTTCGCCGTAAGCACTGCATCTGCGGTTGTTCAGAGCGTGCTGACCCCATTCCTGTGGTTTCAGGTGCCAGCAAGGTCAACCTCGTGAAGATCGCGTCCACAGCCTCCAGCCCACGGGACACGGCGCTGGCCGCCATCATCTGCAGCGCTCTGGCCACCGTCCTGCTGGCCCTGCTCATCCTCTGCGTCATCTATTGTAAGAGACAGTTTATGGAGAAGAAACCCAGCTGTAAGTTCTGAGCTCATTACATTTCTTAGCATTTGGGGGAAGGGCATTTATTACCATTGTCGTGCTAGTGTTCCACAAGAAACTGGCTGAGACAAGCACCAGCGGGCTGTGAAAGAACACAGGGCATAAGAAACACAGGTGATCCCTGAACAGCAGAGGGCTAGGGGAACAGTTAAGAATCCACACGTCAGTGTTGACTCCCTGAAAACGTAACTACTAATAGCCTATTGTTGATGAGAAGCCTTAGTGGTAAACAGTCAGTTAATACATCTTGTATATTTTGGTGGTTTTTTTGGGTTTTTTTGAGACAGAGTCTGACTCTGTCACCTAGGCTGGAGTGCAGTGGCGTGATCTCAGCTCATGGCAACCTCTGCCTCCCAGATTCAAGAGATTCTCCTGCCTCAGCCTCCGGAGTAGCTGGGACTACAGGCGCCCACCACTACGCCTGGATAATTTTCATATTTTTAGAAGAGATGGGGTTTCACCATGTTGGCCAGGCTGGTCTCGAACTCCTGGCCTCAAGTGATCTACCCTCCTCAGCCTCCCAAAGTGCTGGGATTACAGGTGTGAGCCACTGCACCTGGCCTGTTACATGTATTATGCCGTGTATTCTTACATTAAAGTAAGCTAGAGAAAAGAAAACGTTACTATGAGAATCATAAGGGAGACAAAATAAGATTTACTCTTCATTAAGTGGAAGGGGATCATTGTAAAGGCCTTCATCCTCATCATCTTCACATTGAGTGGACTGAGGAGGAGGAGGAGGGGTCGGCCTTGGTGTCTCAGGGTGGCAGAGGCTGAAGAAAATCTGTGTATAAGTGACCTGCACAGTTCAAACCCGCATTGCTCAAGGGTCACCTGTAGAACTCACTGAGGTTGCACAACTTTGTAAGGAGACTTACAAGGCTGTGGTGTCCCTGTGCCACTAGGCAAAAATAAAAATCATTGTCAGTAATGGCAACATTAGTACCCTACATTTTGAACTTTCTTAACAAATTATTTCATGTTTGTGCTTCCATATAAGAAGTCCTCAAACGTCGGAAGGATAGCTGACTTGTTCTTTAAAAATACGAAAGCTAGAATGGTACAGGTCTGCACTGGATGTTCACGGGACTCCCGTAGAGAGGAGACTGTGTTCCCTGACAGAGTTCTCACCCCTCATTTAGGGTCTCTGCGGTCTCAGGACATTCAGTACAACGGCTCTGAGCTGTCGTGTTTTGACAGACCTCAGCTCCACCAATGCGCCCACCACTGCTGCCAGTGCCGCCGCGACTCAGCACAGACCTGCGGTAAGTTCAGCAGGGGAGTGCCCTTAGGAGGCCTGGAGGCGCCCAGAAGCTGAAGCAGCAGGCATTGGTCCTGGTTTATTCATCTCACAGCGAGGTGGCTGTGTTGAGTCTTCTAGTTAAAACTAATCTTGTTAGATTATTCTCCACCATCTCCTGTTGGTTTGGGTGTTTTGAGTCTCTTAAGTATTAAAAAGGAAACAAGCATCTCGTTAAAATTCTAGAATTTTTCAGCAACTTTTGGGGCATGTTTGTCTTTATTTTGAGTCAGTTTATTTAAAATCATGGTAGCCTTTGGTAGAGTAGGAGTTTATATCCTTTGCTGTCTGGTTGATTCAAACCAAACACTAATATGCCTATTTTAAAAATATGTCTATTTAAAAAATATATCTATTTTTAGAATTTCTTAAGAGAGAGGTGAGAAGTCCATTTCAAGGTTTTACACAAACCATAATTGTCCCTTGGACTACTGACAGAATGAAAGTTTAGGAAAGTGATTCAAAGGGAAACTGGTCTCTAACTTGGGCAAATAGGGGCAAAGGTAATACCAACTTTTTAAAAACTTTTATTTTAGGTTTTTGGGTACATGTGCAGGTTTGTTACATAGGTAAACTCGTGTTACACATTTCTTTGTTTTACAGATTATTTAATCACCCAGGTATTAAGCCTAGTACCCAGTAGTTACTTTTTCTGTTCCTCTCCCTCCTCCCATGCTCCACCTTCAAGTAGACCCCATTGTGTGTTGTTCCCTTTGTATTCATGTGTTTTCATCATTTAGCTCCCGCTTATAAGTGAGAACATATGGTATTTGGTTTTCTGTTCCTGCTTTAGTTTACTGAGGATAATGGCCTCCAGCTCCATCCATGTTCCCACAAAAGACACAATCTCATTCCTTTTTATGGCTGCATAGTATTCCATGGCGTATATGTACCACATTTTCTTTAACCAGTCTGTCATTGATGGACATTTAGGTTGATTCCATGTCTTTGCTATTGGGAATAGTGCTGCAGTGAACATTCATGTGCATGTGTCTTCATGGTAGGATGATTTATATATTTAGGTATATAACCAGTAATGGGATTGCTGGGTCAGGTGGTAGTTCTGTTTTTAGCTCTTTGAGGAATTGCCACACTGCTTTCCACAATGGCTGAACTAATTGACACTTCCACCAACAGTGTGTAAGCATTCTCTTTACTCTGCAACCTTGCCAGCATACGTTAGTTTTTGACTTTTGAATAATAGTCATTCTGACTGGTGTGAGATGGTATCTCATTGTGGTTTTCATTTGCATTTTTCTAATGATCAGTGCTGTTGAGCTTTTTATCATATGCTTGTTGGCCACATGTATGTCTTCTTTTAAGAAGTGTCTGTTCATGTCTTTTGCCCAGTTTTTGACAGGGTTGTTTTTCTCTTGTAAATTTAAGTTCCTTATAGATGTTGTATATTAGACTTTTATCGGATGTATAGTTTGCAAACATTTTCTCCCATTCTGTAGGTTGTCTGTTTACTCTGATGATACTTTCTTTTGCTGTGCAGAACATCTTAAGTTTAATTAGATCCCATTTGTCAATTTTTGCTTTTGTTGCGATTGCTTTTCATGTCTTTGTCATGAAATCTTTGCCCATTCCTATGTCCAGGATGGTGTTGCCTAGGTTTTCTTCCAGGGTTTTATAGTTTCGGTTTGTACATGTAAGTCTTTAATCCATCTTGAGTTGGTTTTTGTATATGGTGTAAAGAAGGGGTCCAGTTTTAATCTTTGGCATATGTCTAGACAGTTATCCCAGGATTTATTGAACAGGGAGTCTTTCCCCATTGCTTTTGTCAATTTTGTCGAAGATCAGATAGTTGTACGTGTGTCATCTTATTTCTAGACTCTCTATTCTGTTCCATTGGTCTATGTGCCTGTTTTTGTACTAGTACCATGCTGTTTTGATTACTGTGGCCTTGTAATATAGTTTGAAATCAGCTAACATGATGCCTCCAGCTAGGTATTGAAGGAACTGTATTTGTTCTTTTTGGTTAGGATTGCCTTGGCTAATTCAGGCTCTATTTTGGTTCCATATGAATTTTAAAATTGGTTTTTCCTAGTTCTGTGAAAAATGTCTTTGGCAGTTTGATAGTAATAGCTCTGAATCTGTTTGGGCAGTATGGCCACTTTAATGAAATTGATTATTCCTATCTATGAGCATGGGATGTTTTTTCATTTGTTTGTGTCTTCTCTGATTTGTTTGAGCAGTGTTTTGTAATTCTCTTTCACCTCCCTGGGTAGCTGTATTCTTAAGTATTTTATTCTTTTTGTGGTAATTGTGAATGGGATTGTCTTGCTGATTTGGCTCTTGACTTGGCTGTTGTTGGTGTAGAGTAATGCTAATGATTTTTGTACATTTTGTGTCCTGGAACTTTGCTGAGGCTGTTTACCAGCTGAAGAAGCTTTTGGGCAGAGACTGTGGGGTTTTCTAGATATAGAATCATGTCATCTGCAAACAGGGATAGTTTGACTCCCTCTCTTCCTACTTAGATGCCCTTTCTTTCTCTTGCCTGATTGCGCTGGCTAGGATTTTCCATACTATGTTGAATAGGAGTGGTGAGAGAGAGCATCCTTGCCTTGTGCCAGTTTTCAAGGGGAATGCTTCCAGCTTTTCCCCAATCAGAATGATGTTGGCTGTGGGTTTGTCATAGATTGCTCTTATTATTCTAAGGTATGTTCCTTCAATACCTAGTTTATTGAGAGTTCTTAACATGAAGGGATGTTGAATTTTATTGAAAGCCTTTTCTGCATCTATTGAGATAATCACATGGTTTTGTCTTTAGTTCTGTTTAAGTGATGAATCGCGTTTATTGATGTATGTTGAACCAACCTTGCATCCCAGGGATGAAGCCTACTTGATCGTGGTGGATTAGCTTTTTTGATGTGCTGCTGGATTCAGTTTGTAAGTAGTTTATTGAGGATTTTTACATTGGTGTGCATCAGGGATATTGACCTGAAGTTTTGTTTGTTGTATCTCTGCCAGATTTGGGTATCAAGATGATGCTGGCCTCATAGAATGAGTTAGGAAGGAGTCCCTCCTCATTTTTTTGGAACAGTTTCAATGGGGATGGTACCAGCTCTTCTTTGTTCATGTGGTAGAATTCGGCTGTGAATCCATCTGGTCCTTGGCTTTTTTTGGTTGGTAGGCTATTTACTAGTGATTCAATTTTGGAGCTCGTTTTTGTTCTGTTCAGGGAATCAATTTCTTCCTGGTTCAGTCTTGGGAGGGTATATATGTCCAGGAATTTATCTGTCTCTTCTAGGTTTTCTAGTTTGTGTGTGTAGATGTTCATAGTAGTTTCTGATGGTTATTTTTATTTCTGTGGGGTCAGTGGTAACATCCCTTTTGTAATTTTTAATTGTGTTTATGTGGATATTCTCTCTTTTCTTATTAGTCTAGTTAGCAGCCTATTTCTTCAAAAAAAACAACTCCTGGATTTTTAAATATTTTGAGTGGTTTTTCATATCTTAATTCTTTCATTTCAGCTCTGATTCTGGTTATTTCTTGTTTTCTGCTGGCTTTAGGGGTGAGGTGATTTGTTCTTGCTTCTCTAATTCTTTCTGTTGTAATGTTAGGTTGTTAATTTGAGATCTTTCTAACTTTTTTATTTGGGTGTTTAGTGCTATGAATTCCCTCTTAACACTCCC